ATCTGTTTTATTTACAAAAATTTATTTAACATAACATGAAGATTTTGCCAGATAGTCTAGCAGGAAGAGTCTCGATTTAAAAAAAATACATTTTACGACAAAATGGCATCACAACGCTTCAATTAAGCTTAAAAACTAATAAGAACTCGTAAGAATAAACACAGTCGTCCATGATAATATAAACCACGTCGAAGTTACCATATTAATTGATAACGCATTAGCATTATTACACTCATTTGAATTGCATTTCTTGATTTCACATTTGTGATTGAGACTTTCAGTACATTTGTAGTCGGAAAGAACACAAGTACGTTCGGTGACCTCAGTATTGTTACCGTAATCTAGAAAAAAAATTATTTATTACTAACAATCTTTTTCATTTTTACCGTTAGGCAAAAAGTAACATATAAAATACATAACATATATAATATTATTAAAAAGATACTATAATATATATATGTTATACAAGAAGGCTAAGTAATTTTATACATTTTTTAACATATTTATAATGAAGAGTGACTAGAAATTTTTTTAAATTTACATTGAATAATTGACTCAATAATTTTTTTCATATTTATAATAATAAATGGCTAAAGAGAGAAGTTAGACCTTTTACATAACATTTTAATATTTTGATGATTTGTAAAAATATTTTTGTGAAAATTCAAGATTCAACATACTTTAAATTACATTTATTTATTTAAATTCTTACCATGTTTAATTATAGCACAATTCCATTCTATTACTTTATGTGTATTTTGTAGAGAAAAAAGGCTTCTTCGTGGTCTATTACGACTCAACGCAACTAAAAAAAATTAATTTAATAAATATTGTGTACAATGCATATTTTGCATAAAATTTGTATTAATGATAAAGGAATTTGAAGCAAAACACAACAAAATAATTACTATACTGTAGAAATTTTAATTTAAAAAAATAATAAAAATTAACAAAATTTTTAAATTAAAATTACAAGACGATGGGGATGTCATCGATGTACTGTTAGACGATGGAGTAGTCGTCGGCTCACTTGTGGAGGATGGTGTAGTGGGGGACGTACTGTTACATAGTAAAAAATTATGTGTAATTTTTTA